CTCGGGCCTGTGCGAAACCCGCCACCTCGAAAACCTGCAGTGTCTTGTGTCTGGACCTCTAGGCCATGTCCGGTGGGGTGAAAGGACACTTAAAAAATCACCCCGTTATTTTTCGATGGGCGGCTACGACCCGACAAACGACCTGGGCCACCCCTTTTTTTTTTTTTTTTTTCCTCAGGGGCCTCCATCCGGACATAGGGACCGGACACCGGACACGGGACACCGGACTGTCTGGAACCCGGTCCGGATGTCCGGGCGGTTACCATGAAAAAGTGGCTGCTTTTTTTTTTTTGGTAGAAAAAGACGCTGCTTTTTTTTTGGTAGAAAAAGATGCTGCGCTTCAATTTCCAAAACTGAAATGGGACCATGTATGATTTCTTGATCTGTTTGTCGGATTTTGGAGTCTGATTTCTCACTCTAGGTGGGTTGAGTCCGGTCTCTGGGGCCAATTTCTGTGTCGTATTGGCGGGGCTGATTTTTTGTGGATCTGCTTTCCGCGTCTTTGATTTCTGTGTTTGATTCTCGAGTACGAGTTTCAAACTTGATTTCTCTTTTTCTCAAGCGGTCTGTTCTGTTGAATTTTGGAGTCTGATTTTCACTCTGATTGAAGGACCTATATGGGTGGCAGTCCGATTTTCTGAGCCCTATTGGTGAGTCCGATTTGTGCCAACTGAGATAGCCCGTTGGTGCCTCCGAGTTTGATTTCTCAATATTTGGTTTGTTGGATTTCCCTGAGTTTGTTTGGTTGGTTGGCCTACACAAGGTGCAAGGGAATCCCGAGTCTGGTTGCTCAGTCTGTTTGTTGGGACTGATTGGTTTCCATACTGTTGGATGCATGGGGCTTCTGTGCGTTGCAGGATGAGTGACGTAGGGCGGCCAAAAGCGATCGTTGCAGCCGAGAGGATCATGAAGAGAGTAAGAGGAGTTGAAGTTACTCCTCACTTTTGCCGGATTGAAGACAAGGAAATTGACTTTTATCGCGACTTCGACATCATTGTTCTTGGGCTCGATTCACTAGAGGCACGGAGCTACATCAATGCTCTTGTGTGCGGCTTTCTTGGTACTTGTGTGTCCACTGATCCACACTCATCCTCTGTGTGTGTGTGTGTGTGTGTGTGTGTGGTGTGTGTGTGTGTGTGTGTGTGTGCGTGTGTGTGTGTGTGTGTGTGTGTGTGTGTGTGTGTGTGTGTGTGCGTGTGTGTGTGTGTGTGTGCTTTGAATTTTCACCACAACAGCAAAGCATATTCAATCCTATTACAGACTGCGAAAACCCGTCGGTTGAGACAATCCAGCAATGAAACAGTTCCACCTCTATAGCAAGCAACATCAAGTATAATAGAGGCATGTAAACCCCTTTCTTAATTGTGTTCACGTGTGTGTGTGTGTGTGTGTGTGTGTGCCCTTTGTCATACTGGTCTCTCTCTGTGTGTGCCTCCCATTCCTGTCTTTCCCTTCGTCTTGTCATACGGTTTCATCGTCATGTCTGTTTGAGCTTTGAAGTTCTTTTTTTTCTCATCCTTTTTTTTTGTTTTTCCTGAATGTCGAAGAAGAGATAACCCTCGCTAATGTTTTGTATCCATCAGGATTCAAACTGATGGTCTGTTTTTTAACTGTCATATCTGCATACTGTTCAGTGAGGATGAAAGTACAGCACACATTGGGGTTGTCTTCAATACGATGACACTTTCACTTTTTTTGTCAAGCTACTCCCGTCATCCCCTCTGTGAAAGTTTTGGAAAGACGCACGAATCCCGCTTGACAGTAAAAAAAACAGACCCTAATCTCCCAAACCTATGAGCTCCCATGTTTGATTTAGGGGCCGCGATTGTACAAAAGTCTTTTCAGACTCTTCGAAGAGGGTTTGATTAGTGGTTACTTACTTCCTCCTTTTCGTTTTTTCCTTTTCACACGGTTGGTATCTTCATCGTCAGCCCTATTGCTTGTTTGAGGGTCGGCAATGGTTCCAGCTAGTACTTTTATCAGCCTGGGACCTCCTCCGTTCCCGCACGGATTTGAACCGCCGTCCTCGGCCTCAAAAGCCGAGTTTCGTAACCGCTACAGCCATGGCACCGTGTTCTAAAATAGGATCCACCCCAGCTCTGCATGTCTCAAGTGTCCTTGAACTCACGCTCGGGCGTCCGCCGCACAGGCAATTCTTGCTCACTGCGCTTCCATCCAGCACGACAACAGGGCTTTAACCACAGGCCACCACAATCCTGGTCTGATTTCCAGGTTGGTTATCAGGCTAGTGTACAGTCAGTACTTTTTAATCAGCCACGGACCTCCTCCGTGAATGCACGTACTTGAACCGGCGTCCATGGCACGGTGTTCTGGAAGTGGATCCTTACTGGTCATGGCATCTGCCCCACCCCTGCATGGCTATAGTGTCCTT